GTTATAAGTTAAACTTTAACATTTGCAGAATTAATAAAATGACATATTGTATATAGAATGCATTCAAATTGGTGATAAAACAGATGGGATTTTTGCATGAGCATTGTGTTGGTTTGTGAGAATAACCCAAATTCCTCTTAGTTCTCATCCAATGAGATCAAACTTTTAAAACATAAAAGATATAAATCTGTTAAAGCAAAGATAGACCGTGTTAAGTGTTAAATTAATTGTTAAGTCCCAGCACAAACAGTACTGGCTTCTGAGGCAAATATGGCAACAGTGCTTACTTTGTTTCCACGGTTCCACTTCAGGGCTGTAGACAGTGTTGTAACAAATCCCTGTATCTGTAATTGATGTTTAATTTGACTTATCTCAGTTGCTTTGACTTAAATTTATAATGGAAAAAAAGGTATTCCAAACAAAGGTTCATTAGATCTGCTCTGTTTAGTATCCAACACGTGAGCACATAATCATTGCTTTTAATGTTCAGTAACAATTTGATGATTTACAATGTTAAACATGTCCTGTGTGTTATTGCTTGGAAGAAAAATAGCCATCACTCTCCCAACCACTTCAGATGGATCTGTGGTTCCTGCCTAAGGCAACAACGTGTCATTTCTCATCAATATAAATGTTGCTCGTTTTGTATTCTTTTTTGCTGACCTTGTTCATTGTTCATTTGAACACCCCTGCTACATTTTACACTGCAAGGTCCTCCTTTTGACACAAAGCAAGAAATGTGCAGTAAACCTTTGCAATTGTGTGTGATGAGTCACTGGTGTCTGTTTTTTCTGTTCCACTGATGTGTACTTGTTATTTAATATATTTATGTTAACTAATATATATGGTATAATGGTGATGGATGTTCTTCCATCATTTCTTCAATTCTGCTGGTCCCTACCAGAGACTCCATGGTGAAGCCTGGACTGAGTTTGAGGTTTCCTATTGATTTTAATGTGAAGCCTCCAATACAGTACTTACCTGTCATCACCAACACCCCTTCATAATAAACCTTTATTGTGAGGAACAGCAGTTTTACTGATAGAGAATCAAGGAGCAGTCCTAGAGAAGAGAACACATAGAAGAGGACACACTGCTGTATTTTGCTTTGGTGGGGGGAACTGAAAGATACTCAGAAATGGAGTGCTCTTGCTCTAAGGCAGGGATTTCCAGTCCTGGTGACTCCAGTGTCTCCTGGTTACCACAACCCTGCTGGTCTCTCTGATGATTAACTAATAATGTGACTGATAAAATCTTTTTAATCGGTTCCAGTTCCTACAAAGTGGCACATTTCAAATTACATGTAGATTCTTACAGATAAACTAAAATCTCATCTCCAGTGCTGAAAGAAAATCAGAATGGTCTATCCATATATTGTGAGCCAAATTTGCTATTTAATTATATGATCATAAGCACACTTAGATAAAAAACTAGCAAATGCTGAGATTGCATGCCCTAGAGTGAGCGGTCCTACTCTTAAGACATTTGAGCAAACTCTGCTGCAGGGGTCTCCAACCAGATAAGATCTGTGAGTTATTGCTCAATCAAGAGGTAATCTGTTTGATTAAGAGATCTCAGATTTTTGCAGACTGAAGAGTACTATGATTTTGGTCCCATATAATTTTTAAATCACCTGTTTTCCTTGTCCTTAGAAATTGGCAATATAATGGGAACCTCTCAAATCTGATAGATCTTTGATGCAATTTAAAAACTACATTATTTTTTTTCTAGAATTCAAATCAGCGGGTAAGTAAGATTTATGAGGAAGGTGAGACCTGCAACAAATCAGTGACTAAAAAATATACAGTATGTAGTCTTGAAAAATAAATAGAGACATCTGTTTAAAATAATGTTTAATATCAAGTATTTAGACATGGGTGGCATGGTAGATTACTGGCATCTTAATTGGCTTCTGGGAAAATTGGCCCCTGGTGTGAGTATGTTCTGCAATGGACTGGCTTCCTGTCCAGGGTGTACCCTTCCTTGTGCCAGGTGCTTGCTGGGATAGCTCCCAGAAGCGGTTAGAAAATGGGTAGATATTAAATTAAACAAGTAATAATTAGAGACCCTGTGTTGAGTGCCATCAAGTTGGTATGCCAACATCACTATCCATAGAGTTTGCATGGCAAGATATGGAAGTAGATTGCCAGGCCTTTCTTCTGCCCAGATACTGCCAACACCACTCCCCCCATACTGCTGCTGCCCAGTATGGGTTATTAGAGAACCTTGCGCCTGACATGGGACACGAACCCTGGGACTACCCTGAGAATATGATTCCCATGCTCTACCAACAGAGCTAGTCAGGGCCCGAAGACCCTCTACTTTAGTTTAAACATTTCCAACACATACAGTAGATCTTCCTTTATAATTAAACTTAATGCTCTTACGTCCTGTATTGGTTTTCAAAATGCACAATTTAAAATGTGTATCCTGTACTGATGCAGGTATGGGCAACCCTGAACCTAAATTGAAAGAAGTGGTTAGAAGATGGATTGATGAAATTTTTATTTTGAGGGTAAAAATAGAATGGTGTAGAAATACATTTTCTATTTTAGGAACTTTAGCAACTGCATTAGCATTTTCTTGTAATATAAACTCTATAACTTAACAAAAGGAGTCAGACTGGGAAATTGCATGCCTTCAAGTTCAAGAAACAATATCCGTTATTAAATATTAATGCTAAGAGACAATGAAAGCAGTACTGCTGAAGGATTAATGTAAGTGAGAAAAACGTACCCATTTCCAATAAGTATCTAGTATTTTTAGTACAAAAAAATCTACTGAGTTAAATTATAAGCAAATACATGAGATGAAGCCACAAACATAACTTCAGATAGTGAGCATCTGGATTATTTGTAATAAGGTCTCACTCTGTATCTTTAAGATTCACTGTGATCTTTTGTCATAGGGAAATACAGGAGATGAAAAGCCATAACAATTATTCAAATCATAATTACAATAATATGCCTGGGAGTTACAGTCATTGAGGGGAACCATGGATCAGTCCAAATCCATACCTGCCCTGGCACTGGCCACCACTGGCCACCACTGCTCCAGGTGGCTGGAGACACTGGAGCTGCTGTAGTAAGAGACCGTTTCAGAGTGGCTGTGGCTCATTACAGTGTTACTGTATGCTTGTCTGCAGGTGAAGGGAGGAATATTGAACTCGAATCTCTTCAGTATAGTGACTGCTATAAAAGAACATCTAGGTACACAAATACAAATAATAAATACACAACTCTTACTTATATAGCAATTTTCTGGAGACATCTTAAAGCACTTCACAGTTCATGGGGACTCCCCTCCTACACCAGCCAAAGTGCACCAGGACTCTCAGGACACACCAGATATCTAAGTGGGGAGGAGAAAAGAGTGATGAAGCCATTTCAAAGATGGTGATTATTAAGAGGCCATGATTGGTAAAGGCACCTGTGAAATTTGGCCAGGAAACTCTACTCTTTTAAAGAAATGCTGTGGGATTTTTATAGCTGCTGGTGTGTGAGTGGTATTTGGTTGTGGGAAGACAACAGGCAGATAACATTCTGTCCTATGAAAAACACCCATGTTGAAATAAAAACAGATATTTAAGTCCTTATATTTATCTGTATTATAAGATATGGCTTTCTAATAATGGATGAGTGGCCATTTCCATTGTCACTTGCTTTCCCTCGGCAAAAATAGATCTAAAGGCCGAAAGTTTCATATTTGTAGATAACTGTGCTACCTGTGGAGTCCAAGAGAGGGGGCAAGAGACTACTGTCTCGCTTGTTGATCAAACGTGAGGACTCCTGAGAACATGATGCAACACACAGTGAGCCACAAACCTGAAGCACTGCACGTGTTGTTCTGTTTTAATTATATTCTATTAATCAATTTGGGTTTATTTTACCGTTTTTAAATTTCTCTTTATTTTTATTTCCTATCATATATAGATTACAAACTTTAGCCGTTATTTATTTTTGTTGCCTAGATTATACTTACTCATTTTTATACTAAAATAATAATTTTACTTACTTAAAACTGGAAAACTGTAGTGTGTTATGCACGTGGATGTAATCGCTACGTATATGTGATTTTCAAGATTTTTTAACAACGAGGACATATTTAATGTTTTTTTTAAAAACGATTAGCAGAGGATGGTTTCGATCCATCGACCTCTGGGTTATGGGCCCAGCACGCTTCCGCTGCGCCACTCTGCTGCTGCGTTTTGAGTTGCCTGTGAAAGTTGAAGTAGAAATCGTCATCAATGTTCTGTCGCCATTTTTTATACCAGAGCCAATTAGAGGTTTCCATGTTACTTGCATAACATTTGTCAAAGGGCATTCTTCGTGCTTGAAAAAAAAGTATTTTAAATTATCGTTTCAAATAGGAGAAAAATAACTGTAAAGAATATCGAAATATCTCATTTGTGCCCTGTTAAAGCCTTGATAAACACCTTTCCTGTCGAATACGCTATAGAATAAATTCTTATAATCAGAAAATTGAAATTTAGTTTTGTAGGCTGAATGTGCCTCAAATTTAAGTGAACTGAGAACATGTTTAAGGGGGATTTTTTTAAATATTCGAATATAAGGCAACAGTAATAATTTTGCTGCTCTGCTATTTGTTAAAAATGACGACTGTGGGGAATGGTATATATAAAGCCTCACCCCTCCCTCATATTGAGGTTTCCTGCAGTTACTCTGAAAGTCTCACTGCCATCTCACTGCCACCATCTTACACTCAGTCGTCCAAGTCGCTTTGGCAGCTGCCTCTCCTATTCACCCAGCACATTACTTCTTTGGCACACTAATGCCACATCTTCGCAGCGTTCTCATTGAAGACCCTCACCAAGATGGACATCTCAGGACTCAGGTGGAACAGCCCTTTGCTCAAGCTTGCAGGGAAGAGAGACATAGGCCTCACAGACAGTCTCTGAGGGTTAGAGCTTTCTGACCTTTAAGAACCTCTTTTGACATCACTATGTGAGGCAGTGTTACGTAGTCTGCCTGGGTAAAACAATTATTCGTTAAACACAGATGAGTTAAAAAAAAGTACAAGAACATCTTGTTAAGCAGAAAAAGACCCTGCATAACTGATTATAGCTGAGCAACCCGAACTTGTAGTCCCTTATCAGCAGCAGCAAGAAGGAGTAGACTTCACAGGAGAGTGTGAGGGAGTACACATTGGAAGTTAGATAAAAAAAAAGTGATCACAATTTGATCTTCTTCACTCGTTCATGAGTACTTGCCAAATGTAAATTTCAACAACGTGTTTTATGTCCTCCTGGATAAGGGTGTGTGTTCCTAAGCAAATAAATCCCACTTTTACAGACAAAAGGAAACCTTTATATCACATCTGGAACCTGAAAAATACATTTCAACATTTTCTTATGAATAAAAGTTAGCATGCATTTAAAAGTTTAGATATTTTATCACTAAACTGGAATACTTTAAAAAGTGCTACTTGGAGAATATAAGTTATTATAGTTATCTGAAGATACAAATTGTAATCATTGGTGCCTTTGATCAGTAAGCTTTCATTTTCTGTAATTATAACCATTTCTAATTATACCATAAATAAATCATTTGGTTCTGAAAGGTTGGGGGAAATAATGAATGAATCCATTGGAAGGTCACCTCCAGACCTTGTGGGCGGGAGTCCTGCAGATTCCACAGTGCTGGGAGTTGTGAACTGGCAGCTACTGTCGTTAGAAAAGTAGGCAATCAAAAACGTAATTAAATTAAAGATTAAGATCAAAGGTGGAATAAAAATCATAGGACTCTCTGGAACACGAGGATTAGTTTAGTTTTATATACATGTAATGTTAAAAAAAATGTCATGATTACATAGCCTTCTTATCAGCTTAAGCAGACTAATATTTTCAAACAAACGAATAATTTATGATTTTTTTTAAAAGAACATTATTGGTTTTTCTAAGTATTTTACAAAAATGTACAAATTTCATTCTGGTCTGGTTGTTACTGCAGTTTTCTTTCCTCAGCACTGGAAAAGGAGCTGCCGAGCTCTAATGCAGGAGCATGAAGTAAACTGAATGTTGTGTGGACTGGCTCTGAGAGACTATCTCCACTGGAACACTTCACCTCCCAGCCCACTGTCTAACATCAAACACAATCCTAAAATATGCCTAGTTGCTTTCAAAGAAGACTTTTTTTTCCAGTTTCAATAGTTTGAAGGAAATATAAAAAAGAAACAACATTACAGAATAAGCAATTTATTAAACAACTAATATTTCATTATTCTTTATGCAACATTATTACATTTCAAATAAAAGCACTGATATAGCCGCCATCCATCCTTATATAAAAGGGTAAAGTAATTTCTGTTAAAACATATTTAATATAAAATATATTTAATGAAGAGGACCTGTGGCAAACTTGCAAGAAAAGATTAACTTACAAAAACATCATTCTTGATGTTGACTCTAGGAGTTGCACAGCAATGCAAACATGAATCATTTCATTCCCGTGCAACAAAAATACAAGAGCAATTATCCAACATTTAATTAAATAATTCAGGTGTAACAAATTTTACAAAGAAGTAGGAAATTAGCAGCTGAACTTGTCCTGTGGTTCTGAAGATCTGTTCTGGTTAAACTCTAGCAGACAGGCACTGATTCACCACTTCCAGCAGATGAGAGTTCTCCAGAGCTGCAGCTACTCTTTCTTTATCTGCAAGCTGTTTGTTAACTGTTGAGAGAAAATATAAAGCGAATAAGATTAAGATTAAACACACAACGAAATAAAACTTGACAGAGGTATCCACTTATGTTCTTCTGACAGTTTTGAACTGGTGGAAGACACAGATGTTTTGGACTGAGCTGAATGAACAGTAATAATTACAATATCACATCACAATGAACAGGAGGAGGAAAATCTGTCAGCTATTTGCAAATGTATTTGAAACCACAGCTGCCTAGCTGAATGGCACTGTGCAGTGTACAGTAGTGGTTAGCACTCTGATCTTGTAACTGTAAGGTTATGGTTTCAAATGCTGGGTTGGACATTTTCATTGTGCCCTTGAGCACAGTACTTCCATCAGATTGCTTCAGTGAAATACCCAGCTTGACCGAGCTGGGGACAGAACCATCAGGTTTTGGATCATTTAAAAAACCTAAATATTTAAACGAAATAAAAATATATTAGAAAGAATCATACAAAGCTCTTACCTGCTTGTTCAGAGGTATGGGTACCAGGTGTGATGTGCACATCGATCTTAATAGAGAAAAATACATTTACACAATCAGGTGAACAGTAGCACTTCCTATACAGCTAACGCCCAACCACCTCTAGTAATTAAATCATTAATAAGAAAATCGGTGGCGAGCTCTTCATTCAGGACTTGAAAACGCTGATAGAAACACACATATTAAAACTTCACCTAAAGAAAGCGGTAGAAGACCATCCTGCAAGATGAGGCAGTCGACATAAGACGTACATGTGAGTGTTGGATGAATAATATATTAACTCAAACGGGCCTTTTACATGACTCACCTTGAACCTGTCGGGCAGCGATCTAAGTAGCTTGACTTTGATGGACAGGCCAATCAAAGTCGCCATGCTGCAGTGAGGAATGGTAGGAGTGAACTCCACAGACACTGTGCTCTCATTGTCGTTCACCTGTGGGGTAAAGGAAGTAGCCCTTTTACATCCATCCACTACACAACCTCTTCATTAACAGTAGATTAAGTTTCTAAGGCATTCGTCTTCCATCTTTCTTTGTTACAGTGAGAAATGAATGCTCTTGCGAGTAACTGTACTTGATACTCTTACCAGCTGGCTTACATTATAACGATTTAAAAAATCGTGCAATGCACAGTCCGTACTAATGTAGCAGATTGTTTTGTCTGGCGGATAGGAGCACAAGCAAATGTAAAAGAGCAGAGGAACCCACATTGACTCTCACTAGCTCCACAACGTTTAACTCTTCCAGGGACAGCGGATGTTCGGGGTCATTAATCGACCTGATGAGATGTTAGAAAGAAATCAAGGAGAAAACACGGCAACTCTGAAACGACGGCACAATGGAATGCTCTGTCACAAGCTGAAATAAAGCGCACGAATGCATTAATAAAATTAACAAGGATATCGAAAATTTCTCTGTCGTCAATAGGATCAGCAACTTCTTCATCCTCTTCCTCCGCCGTCAGCAGCCTCTCCCCTGATCGCTGGAAGATCAGAGGGTTCGCATTTTCTAACCGAGTCCCTCCGGACATCTGTGAAATTCTATTTTCTGTTCTCTTAAAAGAAACTGCTACTTTCCAGACCAGCTTGAAAACATTCCTTTCCTCAGGTTTTTTTTTTTGTGTGGCTTTGACCTGTACCGGCTGTAGATTGGTTGCAGAGCTACGGTGGCTCAAAGGCGACAAAACGTATTGATGTACGCGAAATACTAGACTCCCCTTGGGTGGGAAATTGCCAGTATTGCGTCGGCTGCGCAGTTTAAATGATAATTTCGGAATGGCCTGCACGTCTTTAATTCCAATTCTTCCTGCTTTCAAAACTTTATTAATATTGGTGCATTGTATGTTTAACTCATATACAGTATTACGTTCTGAGTTTTGCTCCGGATCCTAATTAGGTAAAAAAAACTTGTTGAGTGTTGTTTTTTAGCATAATTTGTTACGACACTATGATATTCGCAAAACCAATAAACCTATAACCAATTGAAAAGTTGGGTTGGGTTTTACATAAATCTCAAATATCTAAATATTGGCTTTTCTTTTATTACTGACGTCTTGCTCTGCATGTTGCACTGAATAACCTGAAGACATCCAGTGCACGAGTTCTTGTTTTTTTCTAGTCTATTTTTGTACAGTAACTGTAAAGAGATTAAGAGATGTTGATAAACGTAATTGGAACAGAAACTCGTATTTTTAATCCGATTACAAAGAGGCTTGTTAATTGAATTACTTCATTCCCCAGCTTAAACCAAAGTGTAAGTGGTACATATCACAGTCCAATTGCTGGCTGCTGTGTCTAAGAAACAAAAATGAACAAATCTAGTTTATAGATTATTGATTTTTACCGACATCTGCTGGTGGTACTGTGTTTGAGTTTAGGCATACTGAAAAATGTCTGGTTTTAGTCAAAATAATCATTAACAACCCTAGAAATATAGTATTCTGATCATAAAATTGTGTTCTGCTTTTAGCCTGAGCTTTTAGAATGTATTGACAGCATAAAGCAAGTTTTCAAAACATTCAATAACATTGCTATTTTATGCTTCTGCGTGCTTCGGGAAAGTTATTTCTATGGTTTTGAAAATGTCCTGAGTATGTTGGATTGGTGTCTACTATGCTCAGACACAGACAGGAATAAAAAAAATAGATAATGGGAGACTTTGTCCACAATCAAAACAGCCCTGAAATATTTCCTGGACACAGGGGGTGCAAGACAAGATTACACACTGGACACCACATCTGTCCATCACAGACACAAACACACACTCAAGGACAATTTAGAAACCCCAGTAAACTACCTAACATTTTATTGGTGGACAGGAGAAAAATATAGCACCCGAAAAAAGGCTATGCTGACACTGGGCAAACAAGCCACAAACAAACCAACACTCCTGTCCAGAACAAAACCCCAGAACCAGGACAAACTGAGCAGCAGCAACAACCATGCCATTTGTCTTCATCTTTCACTTTTAATACCTTAAAAATACTCATGCATTGTATGTCTGACTTACATACAGTCAGGGTGTATCAGGTGTATCAAGTGTCAAGGTTTTAAAATCTTTGTTTTCTGTTATGTTTAATGTACAGTTCCTAAACTTACAGAACAAATGCAAAAGCTCAGACTTGTTGGGGTTTCTACACACGTTATAATGCCATGGTGTTATAATGGGTTTTTAAATGTTAGGAAATGCTGTATGCAGCAAAGCGAGATAGTTCTGTGATCAGCCAACGTGGCTCTTAACCCAAAGACACAGGGCATGATGATTCAGACAGAGGCAGATTTTGATTATTATAGAGAATCAAAAACAACAGAATCGAGTTGGATCATGATGAAGTGAGTGTATCCCATTAACAAATAAATAAATAAAATTAGATGGATAGAGCCAAAATAAAAAAAACAGTCTATACTAAAATAATTCTTATTTTGTTCTGTGTACAATTTACTTTTAGATTATTTGTGTAAAAATAATCTGGGATAAAGCTGATAAAGTTGAAGAAGGCAGTACTCGCTTCTATGTTGGGCACTAAATTACAACAAATTAAAAAACATAATATACCTGCTGATTCTTTTTTATTTTGGGGCTTTCTTTCAAAAGTAAGATTCTAAAGTGTAGTAAGAAGTTGATGTGTTAAAGAAACAGCTAGAGCAACCATTTCACACCATTTTGGATAGTGAATGATCTATGGAGATATGGAGTTTTGTTCATGGATCAGACAAGAGTGGAATCCTGTACAGTATATACAGTATGGCTCGAGATACTGTATGTGTGGACAAAGAGGCATAGTTTGATATATGCTCTAGACAAAAAGGCAAGAGTGACTCACTCACAATGTGTGATGTAAGCCCAGCAGAAAAGTACTGAAAAGGCAGAATTAGGAAATATCCATCAGAGAGCTGGTGAAGGAGTCCTTTCACATTACAGTTCCTAGCCAGAAAACAAGTATCAAAAACAATTCAAAGGAAATGGTGAATACGGCCATTTTTTCCTTGGACTTGTCTGTAAATTAGACATCTCACTTCACTTTCACATTCCACAAAAGATCCCTCATAGTTGCAATTGCCCAAGACCAGAGATTGAAGTAATACAAATGCACATAAGGGAAAAAGAGACATACCAGTGTTCTGTGTTCAGCAGATGTGCCACTGATCCCAAAGATTTTAGACACGATGATTCAGGCAGAGGCAGGTTTTGTATTCTGGGAATAAAAAAAAGTAGAATCAAGTTTGGTCTTGATGATGGGGGTGTATCTTCTGAAATTCTTGTGAACTTGAACAACAGACACGTTTTTCATTTCAGACTACTGTAAAATGGAAACCTTACTGCAGATCTTTACTTCCTTTTATATCTTGGAACCACTTTGATTCTATTAATGTAATCAAATAAACGACAAGCACAAGGTTATAATCAAAGTGTGTTTCTTCATTAATACTGGGTTTCACAGGGGCACCACTGTGATACCACTGCTTCCTTACAGTTCTGGGGTCACGGGATCCAGAGTGATGTACATTATGTGTGGAGTTTGCATCTTCTCCCTGGGTATATGTGGGTTTTCCTTTGGTCTCCCTAAAATATACTGTTTCAGTTTGATTGTCTAACCTAAACTGTTCCTTTTGCCAGGGGCCTGTGATAGATTGGCATGCCATCCAGTGTGCCAGCAGTCATGTGCTGCCAGTCTTGCCTTGCCCCCTCTGCTTGTGGGATAGGTTCCAGGTTGCCACAGCTCTCACCAGGATGAGAGGCTTTCTAATGGAGGGATGCAGGAATTTTATAAACCAACACCGAAGTAGTACTAGCAATAGGGAATTCAGTTAATTATAAAGGAAATGTTCAAAGGAAAGTACCAGGTGTTTAATTTTCATATGTTTAATTTTCCATCCATCCAATTTTCTAAACTTTTCTCCCAGGTCAGGCTCACAGGCACAAGGCCAATTTTGCCAGAAACCAAAGTGGGTGGAAACTGGAAATCCCAGAGGAAACCAACATGAACATGGGGAGAACATACAAACGTCACGTAGATAGAACCCCAGGACAGGAACTGAAAATAGAATTTAACTGCGAGGCAGTAATGCTAACCACTGGGCCATCATGTAGCCCTTTTACATTTAATTTTATATTTATTACTATTTGTGTTACTATTTTCTCTTTATCTGAAGTTTTCTATTCCTAAACTAAAACTATTTGCATGTGTTATTGTCTGCTTCATCTTCCAATAAGGATCTGTTTGCAAGCAAGAAGTTTTTTCTGGGACTTGGACTTGGATGTAGTTTTTAAACCTCGTGGTTTGGAAAAGCACCAAGTGCAGGAATGAAAACAAGTGTCTCACTGAAAAAGCACTGATGGATGTTCTAGAAAGGTAAACATTCCACATTGTGATCAGACTTGTATTTAACACATTCTTCTCTTTGATAGAAGCCAAGAACCTTTCTGTTGCCGGTATTGATGACAGGTAAATGGAGATATTAAAAAGGCCAAGAGATAGAAAAGAATATCTCAGTAGAGGCTACAATTATTAGTAAACTGTTCTTTCAGTACTGCAACAGTAAAAGAACCATGAAGGATAAAGTCAAATGTGTTTGGGTCATAATGGTAAACTTCAAGATAATAAAATGGAAATGGCTGATATAAAAAATGAGTATTTCATTCATGTTCAAGCTGCAAACAACAGTATTACAAGCAAGTATCAGACCACAGAAAACTCTATTAATATAAAATGGAAAATGAGTTAGAAGGAGCTACTTATGAAAAAGACTTAAATGTTTATTTTGACACTTTCATTTACTTCATTTCTTCCAGATAATGTCAAACAAAATGCTAAATATAGAGTTTAAAATGGGGAATTTAAACTAAGAGATTAGTTGTATTAAAATAGCACAATGCACCTCATTTAGTATATTGTGTACAATTTCAGTCACAAAGTTATAAAAAGATATTGCTGCTCTGAGATCAGTCCAGAGAAGAGTAACCAGATGTCAGACCAGATCTCAAGGGAATATTCTACACTGACAGGCTGAAGGAACTGAATCTTTTGAACAGAGGGACTACAAGCCTGACTCCCTGGCTCCTTTCCTGAAATGGCTTGGCGAGACCATTGGATCAATTAGCTAAAAACTGCTAAATGGTTCAGATGAGCAAAATGTTCCCCTCACATTTGTAACCTATACTTTGTTCTTATCTGACCCCATTTGTCTTGAGCTCAGGTTGGAAAGATTACTGCTTGCTTGTTTGTGGTATTCCTGAATACTATACAGTATGTATTTGTTTGTTATTTTACTTTGAAGAAGGTTAGTGTAGTGCTATTGCTCGTTTCATAATTCTGAAAAAACACCTACATTTCAAAATACATATGTTGTACATAGGTAGGTAGTCAGGAAAGAAAATGAAATTTCCATATGAAAACTTTAAACCATTGCTGTGGGTTTAATCAGTATTTTTTCTCCTTGACTGGGAGCATTCATGGTTTGGGAAGTCAGGGGCCTGAAGGTACAGTACCCTCATATGCCTGTGCCTGAGATACTGATCAAAAATCTTCTGCCCATATTTAGAGAAGAGTTGTTGGAATCAGTGGGCAAAGCCATCTGTACACATCAGGTAGCGCTCAAATCTACGTACTTTCAGTAAGATTCTCAGTTGAGATTATTTCATTTACAGGGATACAACTTATTCTACAGTAACCCTGAGGGTATTCGGGAAAATGAGGTGTTTGCAGTTCAAAGTGATCCTTTTTGTAGTCCAGGTAAGATTCATTCTCATGCTTCTAAAACTATATACTGTGTATATACACTGTATATGCAAGCTCTTCAATATGCAGTACACTATACACACATGATTTATAGAAAGATGTACAGTGCTGTACCAAAGTATTCAGATTCTTTCAACAGCATCCTATTGTGTGGCATTACAAAATGCAGAACAAATTACAAATGACAGAACCTAATATTATATTTTAAAAACTGAATGCTCAAACGGAAAACTTGTAAGGGTAAGATAAGATACAGTAAATATCAGTACAGCAAAAGAGAAAAAAAAAGAAATATGTTGATTGCAAAACCATACAAAATCATGAACAAACATACCTGGTGGATGCACCCTTGACAGCAGTGACATCCACAGGTCTTTTTGAATAAGTCTCTACCAACTTTGAGCATTAGCTTAGTGCAAATGATGTCCATTTTTTGGGTTACGAGACAGCCAAATCTAGGCAGTGTGTGGGTGGTATTATGTGCATTTATGTACATTTACATATTATGTACACTTCTTAATAATTAACTTCAAATAGGGTAAAGGAATATTCAGTATTTTAAAATTATTTTATGCCTTTCTACTGATCTGTGCCTTTATTCAGCTTTATTCCTGAGTTGTTCTGAAAGCTCCCTGGTCTTCAAAGTTGAAACTTTGCTTGATATTCACTGGCTGTGAGCCTCACATAAGGGTGGAATAGCTGTGTTTGGCCTCTATCTGTGACTTCATATGGTCAGAAGGGCATCTTTCCCTTACACCTGAAGAAGGCTCCACAGCCAAAACATTGTGTCTTTTTTATTTTTCTCTAAGCATGGAATAAACCTTTACCTGTTCCTTTGCAGCCTACGCATGCTGACACAGCTCTCTACTTGATACTCTAATATCCTGTACCTTTTTAGCTATTACCTCTTTGTTGTACTGCTTATACTTTATGGACAGATGAAGAACTATAAAATACTGTACATCATATACACAATTGTATTTGCTCAGTATACCATAAGGTTATTTATATTTTAATAAATATTACATTAAAACCTATTTCGTTTTATATTCGCAGGTTGTGGCTACAGGATCAGGGGAAGATGCTCCATCCTGTCAGCCTGGGTTCAGTTCAGACAGATTGGTCTTCCAAGTTGACCAGGAGCTTCTGCCCGCAGGCAGGAGAGTGGGAAAGGGTAAGACACTGCCACACCTGACAGGATCTTACCTTCTCAGTGTAAGGAACTGGAGTGCGAGTTTTTTAGGTTCATATTGCACAAAGGGGGTCATCAAAGCTCTGTGTTTTTTTTACTAGTTTTCTAGAACTAGCTAGGGTGAAATAAGAAAATGATGAATTAATTAATTAAACCTGCAGGAACCCCTTCTCTGAGATTTTTAAGAGAAGAATAATTATGTATCTAAATTATAACAGGACATGGCAATAAAGACTTCTTGCACTTGCATGAGAAAAAAAAAATTGTACAGTCCTCTTTTAAGATTATATTTTTTATTAATACATTTTATGGTAGAATATTTTAGAGGAAATACAGCTATTTAGTTCTGATTTATATATATATTCTGTAGTTTAAACTAGTCTCTACATCACCTCTGACTGTTATGAAAATAGCATTAAGTCTTTAACAGACAGATCCCAAATCTCTCAAATTATGCTAGAAAACATTTTAAAGTTTTTTAAGGGAGTTTCTATCATCAAAAAATGTCCAGTTCTTTACTTCATTACCAGTAATGTTTTCTGCTTTATGAAACACTACTACAATTTTTTTTTTGCAGTGAACTTTGATGACTGCTCAGGCCATAAGAGAACAGTTTATATGTCGGATGATTCCCGATTTCAAGTGGACACAGATGGAACTATAAAGGTGAAGAGGGCTGTGAATCTGCTTGATGGACACAAGAGTTTTTCAGTCCATGCCTGGGATTCTAGTGGGAAAAAACTGACCACAAGAGTCACAGTGGAAAAGGAGCTGAGAAGCCATCACTTCCATGATAAGAAAAGTATCACTCCAGGACAGGTAACTGTGGAAAAATTCTCAATGAGATGAGTTTGAGCACTACGGTGACCTTACTGTTCTCAACATACTCTCATCGGTGAACTGTTAACTATTAAAACACCTAAAAATGATGCACTCTTGGCACTTTGTCAGTCTCCAATATGGTTATATTTATTTCTGTTGTTTTATATTTCAGCATCTTGTGATGATGTATTATGAAAGGTCCTATATAAAATAAAAGTGATGATTATTATACTTATAAACCTGGAGTGTCTAATCCAGGCCCAGGTGGTCTGCTGTGATTGCAGTTTGTCATTGGAGCCTGAGTCTACAGGACCTCAATTATCTATGTTTTCCCCAGTTCATCAAGTTCTAGTGCAGACACAAAACCTGCATATACACTGGCTGTCCAGGCAGGATTGTGTCACTAAACAACACAATCCTACAAATTCAGAGATAGGATTTAATACAACCCCAAAAACATTACAATTGAAATGAAAAAACAGTACAGTTTTAACAGTATGTTGTATGCAATTCCTCTCTTTCACAGCCTGAAACCTCTCCAGATGTCCCAGTCCTGGTGTTTCCACAGTCCTCTTCAGGAGAGCGGAAGAGACAGAAGAGAGACTGGATCATTCCACCCATCGCTGTTTCTGAAAACAACAGAGGCACTTTCCCACAAAGTTTGGTTAAGGTACATTAACATTAACTTATTGTATTACAAACGTATAATGTAACTGAATTTTAATCATTATATCTTAGCTGTACTTTGCTTCAGGTACGTCTGAATTGCATGCTACTGTGTTACTCTGAACGTACAGCTATCTTATTTAACGTGCATTATTAAGTGAGTCATTTTAAATGAGTTTGTTCTAAAACTCTTTAGAAATGCATATATTCTTCCCTAATTATTAATTATATCTTATAATAACCAAGTAACCAGTTTCAGAATTACAGAGATCACATCATGCCTTTAGAAATTGTTACAGAGATTTCCATGTGGCTCAGCTGTCAAGGATGGTTGTGGCAGCATTATGTTATAGTTCTGCTTCTCATCAGCAGAGACTGGGTAACCTGACAAGGCTGATGGGAACATAGATGAAGCAACAAACTGGCAAATCATAGAGTAAATCCTGCTTCAGACCTAAAACTGGAATGAAGATGCTCCTTCCGGCAGGACAGAGATACAAAGCACGAGGCCAAAGCTATAGTTTTGATTACGAAAAAAGAATAAAAATGTTTGTCATCTTGCTTCAGACATAAAAAAAGGGATGAAGATCTTTTTAGGCCAAAGCTACACTCTAATGGCGAGTGAATAAGAATGAAAATGCATACACAGTATTTTGTGAATTCACAAAATGGGACATCATAGGAAGGGTCTGAGTACTTTTGAAAGACACAGTATAATAATGTATTTTCATGCACTTTAAATGAAATTCTTGTAACAGTTAGTTTAATTTGCGTGTCCTCGGAGTTCAACAACAAGTATAGTTTTTGTTACAACCACAGTTGTATACACTGTGTATCCTTTTCACTTGAAGAAGAGATAGACCATTTAATTTTTTTTTTTTTATAATTTCAGTTCAAATCCAATAATGACAAAGAAGCACAAATTCTATACAGCATTACTGGACCAGGAGCATGACTTGTTTCTTGTAATTACCCCAAAGATGGGTCAGTGTAAGTTGCTTGAAAAACAATTAGGACATTTAACTTTTTTTATTTCAGATCAAATCCAATAATGACAAAGAGGCACAAATTATATACAGCATTACTGGACCAGGAGTAGATCAGCCCCCTGTAGGGATTTTCACCATTGACAAGAACACTGGACGGATGTATGTAAACCAGCCTTTGGACAGAGAGAAGATAGACCATTATACGGTAAACTCAGTATTTAAGTCCTTTTTAAATTTTCCAGGTCTTCATGTTTAATTTATGACAGTAAACATAAATGTTTATTTCTAGCTTTTGGCTCATGCTGTTGCTGCTGATGGGGGAAGAGCAGAGGATCCTATGGAAATCGTTATTTATGTTATTGATCAGAATGATAACAGTCCTGAATTTACCAAAGACACCTTTCTGGGCAATGCCAAAGAAGCATCTCCACCAGGTAAGAACTAGTTAGTAAATCAGGAATACTTCTATTACTTACACCTAAGTGTTTAGTTTCAATTTACTTTACTAGTTTAATTTTCAAACTGCCCCCTTCTTTATCTAGTTATCTAGTATCATAATACCACAAAACACTAGTAGCCATACCAGAAAACGTGTTTGATTCCTGATTACACTGCCTCTGAATTGCAAAGTAGCCATTTATTGTTGAAAACTGCCAGTTTATCATTTAATTTGTCATTGCATTTCATATTTTAAGGTACTGCTTTCATGACAGTAACTGCAACAGACGAAGATGATCCTAATACAGACAATGGGATTATCAAGTACAGCATCATAAGCCAAGAACCTAAGGAGCCAAATCCCAACATGTTTATGATCAACCCAGTGAGTGGAGTGATAATCATTGCTTCAGCTGAACTGGACAGAGAGGTATGTTCATAATTTATCACAGTTTAAGGATTAAAGCAATGAAAAGGACAAGATCGGAGTTGTTATTCATATTTCATTGCAAGCATTGTATTGCACTGTTGCACATCATATTTATGTACAGTACATTTTCATAGTCCTAATCAATAGGTTTCTTGAATATATAGTGGTGGTATTATTAAAATAATTCAATCAATCTTTCATCCTGGCAGTTTTTTATTATTTCAGCAACATCCTGAATATACACTGCTGATTGGAGCTGCTGATATGGATGGGGCAGGTCGGCTGACCACTGCCACTGCAGTCATCACTGTAACAGACAGTAATGACAACACTCCACAGTTCACACAGGTTTCGGTAAGTTCTGTTTTTACAACCCACATAAGATAGACTAAGAACAGATTATTGAATATGACACATACGTTATTTTTAATCCTAAATCTAAATTCACTTTATTCATTCTGTTCAGGCCAATATTAAGCCTCACCTCCAACCAGATATTTACAGTTAAGCAATGTTAATAAAATAGGGAGTTTCCTAGCCAAGTTGGGAATTTGACATTTGCAACTTATGTGGAGAGGAATTAGTTGTACAGTATTTCACCCCAGCAACTCGATGAAGCATTTCTTTTTAGTGGAGGAGTTTATTGCCAGATGGACATGTACATTGGATTTCTTATTCGCACTGATGTTGTGGGACATATATAACAACAGACAACACCACATAATATAGACAGTACAAACATAATAAATCATTTACTTTTTCAGTATACTGTTACTGTGCCTGAAAACAAAGTAGACTTTGAGGTGGTGAAACTACCAGTGACCGATAAGGATGAACCACACACACCAGCCTGGAACACCAGGTATACAATCGTCAAAGGGAATGAAGGAGGGTTCTTCAATGTCAGCACTGGGCCTGGCAAGATGGAGGGCATTGTTAGAACTGCAAAGGTAAGATTGAGGTTCCTTGAAATTGACTTAGTCGACCATATTAATTCTGTCTGTGTAGGGAAGCTAAATGTTATCATGGCTGACGATTAGCCAGAAACTTTACAAAGAAAAGAATTTCAGTTGAAATTATTATAATTTTTAAAAAGAGGGTATAAGTAGCAAAGTGGTTAATGAAATGCAATTTATTTTATCAGCAAATGTATTGTAAGTTTTTGTTCCAAATCATTCAAAATTTCCCGCAAAAGCTTCATTTCTCCATCCTTTTTAAACTTTTCTCAGTTTTTAAATAACATAGATTTTTCAGTTGAATAATATGTACTTTCCTATTCCGAGTGAGTCCCTGATAGTTTAAAGATCATGAAAACGTCCAACACAAAGACACTTGAAATAATGTGACAGATGTCTGGTTCTTATTCACTTCAAGGGTCTTGATTTTGAGAAGAACAGCAAGTACACTTTATTGATTACAGTAGAAAATGAAGTGCCCTTTGCCACTCGACTGCCAACAGCCACTGCTACTGTTGTTGTAAATGTGGAGGATGTTAATGACGCCCCGATCTTTGATCCACCTCAAAAAACAATCCGCCGGTCAGAGGACCTTGAAATAGGAACAGAACTGGACGTATATAAAGCTACAGATCCAGACACTGCAAGAAAGCAGACTGTAGGGTAAGGACCTTTCTCATGCCTTTATTACAGTCAGAGGAGTTCTTGGTAGACAACTAGGGTCTAATTTTCATGTTCACATGCTTTATTGTTGTTCTTATAGTCTTGAAGTGACTTGAAGCCACTGGTAAAAATATATTTTTTTTAATCTGATAGCTATACTGTTGAGAGGGAACGTTTGTGCTCTTTGAGAAATGGTATACCTAGGAGTGAAATAGTGTAGGTTCTGAACCTTCTAGCTATGCAGCATAAGAAAGCAAGGACAGAAATTATATGGGACTGGATGTGATTCAAACTGATCTCACTTGCATAGTTTATAGATGTTAATAACAGCCAACTATGAAGGCTAGAGCAGAGAGCTGCGTCAGTTCCGTTTGTAAAAAGGAGCAAATACAGTGTTTGCTCAGGGGAAGGTGTCTTCCTATTTCCCTGATCTAAATGGCTAAACCCTCTCTGCAATAAATGAGCTTGCTATGTGGTCCTGAGGTGGTCAGAGGGCCAGGTGCTGTACTGTGTATGTGTACTGGTGGCTCTTCTGGTAACTTCACAGTCACCCAGTGGTCTTGCCTCCAGCACTTCATAATAAGCTCCAGCCACACCTGTGTCTTTTGGTCTCATCAGCCCACCTCTTCTCCTCCTCTTTCTCTTTCTTCTTAACTCACCTGAGGTGGCCAACATGTTGTAGACTTTCCAATGTAGAATTCTCTACTCTTTCTGTTACACCTGACTACCAAGTGTTATGTTTTTTATACAATAAATATTTAAACAAAATATTATAGTTTAGGTTGTGCATATGAAGTTAGATGCATTCTGTACAACTACACAATAAGTTAAAACTGATGTTAAGGACAAATAAATTACGGGATATTCTCTTATGCTTAAACATTTTCACTTGCATATTCTAGAAGCTGTTATAGCTAGATGTCAAGTCAATAATATGAATCAGATAAGTATTTGATGTTACGCATGTTTCTGGAGCAGGTGAAAAAGGGGTCTTGGAAACTATAAAATTTCTGTTCAAGTGTTTTCTGTGACGTTTCCTTCAGGTATCAACTAGGAAGTGATCCTGCAGGGTGGCTGAGTGTCATGAAAGACACAGGGCTCATTAGTGTGAAAAGCATCATGAAGAGAGAATCTCCATTTCTCACTGGGGGGATATATAAAGCTCTCATTTTGGCAGTTGATAATGGTAAGTTGTTTTTTGCTGAAATTCAGATTAAAGATGTTATGACTGAAAATTCATTTTTAGATGTTTTTAGAATATGTAAAAGCTTCTCTAAAAACAACATTTAAGATAACTCAAGAATCCTGACCAGGAGTGTACTGAGAACCTTTTTTAGAATGGTTATATTCACAGTATAAGAGGCAAAAAGAGTTATCATCTCAGAAAATGCTCTTTTGCATAAGAGACTAAAACTCTTTTCAAACCTTCATTGAGCTGTGCTGTGACTTGTTCCATCCCTTCAGGACTGATTGAGGGAGAAGTCTTTCCCTCATTGACAGTGCTGCATGACTGCAGGTGACTCTCCAGAACCTCTGGTGTGCTGTGTTACTGGGAGCCATATCTGATCACTCCCAACCCTACAGTCAGCCGTGCTCTACCAATGGGGGAACCACATTCACAGTCAGCTAGTGACATGATCTAGCCTTACATTACCTTTATCATGGTGCTGGGACACTCCCTAGGCTCTGAACTGGATACTGGATAGCAGTGCACTTAAAATTGAGACCTGGCTGCAGATGCACTTCTTTACACAAAGCCAAGTTGTTGAAGCTCATACCTCAACTTAAGAACCAGTCTTATGTTCCCATTTATTTTTTTGTCAACAGATCAAGTTCCTGCAACCGGCACAGGGACACTATTTATAAAGCTACAAGATGTAGACGAGAACGCCCCAACAATTGAAGAGAGAGAGATATCAATCTGTAATGAAGAGTCTGGTCCTGTACTACTGCCACTTAGTGACAGTACTTGTTCTTTACATGTGGAACTTCAGGGAAAGTCCAGGAATACATGGACTGTCAAGACAAGTAATCCTTTTTGACTAATTTTTAGTCCATTGAGCTACAGTTTAAATATCTCTTAATGGGATGTTGCGAGATTCATAAATTACTTAATGTCTGATGTCATGTTTCATATTTGTGAAGACTGAGTTCCTTGACTTATACGCATTTTCAAAATTACAGTAACTTTAAACATATGCCTGATGCTACTTTATCATTTCTTTCAGAAACCGTAGTGTTCTTGACCCCAAAGGAAAAGCTGGAACCAAACACATATTCGATTGCTCTAAGAATCTATGAGTCTACAAGCAAGTACCAGGACAATACTATTCTAGCAGATGTCCGTGGTTGTTAAAGAAAGGAGGTTACTTGTTAGAGTGTCAGGAGAGTCTGGACTGCCTGGAATTCCAGCTGCTTTAACCACAAGAACTATTGATGTGGACGGAACCAACATTTACCCAAAAACAGGACATGATGGGAGAAGTGGATTAAATGGCATGACTGTGTCACAGAGATGAGGTCAAATCAATTAAAAACCCTTAAGATACATTCTTCACCTAAAAACTGTACACAATAGTGGTGCTTTTAGTCATGGAGTTAAAACAAGTCAATGTCATCCCTGGTACAAGGCAAGATACTTAGAGGTCAGTCACTCTCAAACTTCAATGAGAAGTGAAGTGAGCTCTTGCAGGGCCTACCTGACTGCCATTTCAATTGTAAATAAGCAAGAATGGTACAGTACATCCCTCTGATCCCATGTTTCAAACTCTTTACGAAGAGTTTAAAACATTTTTACATTTTGAGTTCAGATAGTCTTTAAAATAGTTTGAAGATCCCTTAAGGAAGAGGAACAAAATTATAAGAAGTTTTCATTCAGTACCTTTGTTAAAATATAATATTTCAATGTAAACATAGCAAGCATGTCTGAGGCATTGATTTATTAATAGAACTTTATTTACTCATATATATTGTAGTAGGGAATATTATTTTTTAGCAGAATGTATCAAGAAGCTTTATATAGGGGTCTTTTTACTAACATAGCAAGTTTAGTCAGAATTAACCAAAGTATAGATTTCTGGTATAGGTATTTTACTGAATAAATCTGTAAAGAAAAGCATGTTTCCAGTTTCTGTTTTACAATGCACATTTCATTTAATCAGATTTGCAATACACCCATCCTCTAAGATTCTGTTTTGCTGTTTAATTCCCCAGTTTTTAAACATTAAACATTTTCTGACATGAATTGTGGAATATTAGTAAATATTCCATCTACTGCTGCACAATGTTGTCTTCAAAGGGGACAGAAATGGCACTTTGGCATGAGCTTCCTAAAAACCCCAATCTTAAAACAGGGAGCGAATTAGGAATGTAAAGGTGAAAAGAAACAAAGGAGAAAATGGAAAGCTGCATACTTGTGATGGATTGTACATCTTGTGTGTTTGATTTTTCTGTCTTTGGGGAATCCTTCCACCCTTTGTTGCCATCAGAACTATTGCCGCTTATTCCTGGTAAAGGGTCACGACAGCCTGCTGCCTATCCTGGAAGCACAGGACATGAGGCATGACTCCACAATGGGAGAGACACTGGGAAACAGTGGCTGCAGTTCTGTGTCCTAGACTGCGACCTGGTAATGTTCACATCGAAGCTTCTGTAGGGCAAGTCCACAGGGATACAAGGACAGAATATCGAAGTTTAGAATTAACAATATATTTAGAATGCAGACCAATAGGTATACAGGTATCAGGACTTTTAACACATCAGTCATTTGTTTAATGTACCACTGTTTTTGAAAGTTTAATTTGTTGGATGTTTAATTTACAGTTGGGTAATAAATAAATGTTTACATAGCAGAGTACAAACCATCACAATTGTACTGTCATAGGCAGAACAAAAAGCCTGCAAGTTCTGTATTAATCGAAATTAGACAGAAATTAAAACGTGCCTGAAGAAGGAACAATATTTTCAGTTCTTTCGTTATGATGTGGCTGAATAGTGTGCCGTGTTTGGTTGGGAGTTTTACTGGAGGGACCCAGTGATTAAGTTGGATGGGTCAGCATAGCTCACAATGTAAAGTTCTGTGCTTCCTTTATCACAGTCAGCCTTCTCCCTAACTACTTTTAAGTTCCCTTTATTTTGTCTCCCATGTCACCACCTGGTCAACACTGAAGCCGTGAATGGGTCAAAATTATCCCCTCCTAAAATGAATAAGAACAAGATTATGTTTATTGGCTCTCTCCATCAAGTCTCAAAATAAGACTGCTTCAAAATTGTTATTCTTGATACAGAAATTGTTCCCTCAAATTATGTTAAAAACTGGGGAGTGATTTTTGGCTCTCCCTATCTTTTGAATCACATATCCACATAGTCTGCAGCAAATCCTTCTTTCATCTGTGAAACATATTCAGTGTAAAACCAATTCTTCCTTTCACTGGTAGAGCACAATTAGTTCATGCTTTGCTAATGGAATCACCCAACACATGTCCTTCAAAACTACAGTATGTGCAGAATTGCACTTAAACATATTTCTCCTGTGCTTAAAAACTTACACGGGCTGCCAGTTTTTTAGAGTGTTGAGTTTAAAATTCTCTTTTTGTCTTACCATAAACTGCGTGCTCAATCTCCTGTGTGCCTTCAAGACTTACATCTGAGTACTTACACGTTCCAGTTCACTTACTTTGTTTACCTGGTTCTAGGTTACTCACTGTTGTAGGACTTCATGTTAGGGGACTGGACGTTTTTAGCAGTAGCTTTTTGGAATACTCCTCCTGACCATATGAAAAACATGATCACTGCTGATGTTTTCAAATCTTACCTCAAAACTTACTTGTTTTTGGAGGCCTTCAGTTTCATACATGTTTTTTGCATTATTAAAAAGTGATTTCCCAGAGCTCTGCATTCAGCAGAGCTGGCACTTAACCCAAACAAAATGTTCGTTATGACTCAAGCACAAGAACAGAGTCAAGTTTGATCTTGATGTTGGGGGTGCATTATAGAATATTATTGTGAACTTAAACAACAGAAACATTTCTTCAGGCTAATGTTAAATGTACATATTGCTACAGGTCTTTGCATGCTTTTATATCCTGGAACTAATATGCCTCCAAGCTGTCTATAAACCTGAACAATTCTAAGTTGTTCTTTTTTAAAACTGGGTTTCACAATGATATTCTAGATAGCATCACTTCCTCTCAAATCTTCAGGCACAGGTTAGATCCAGAGTGGGACACTCAGAATCTTCAGGTAAGATTCTCAGTTGAGATTACCAATGAGAAATTAGTATCTCATTAAAAGGGATACAAATCACTACAGAAATCCTGAGCATCTCAAGGACAATGGGGTGTTTCAGGAGTTTGCAGTTCAAAGCCATCCTTTTTG